TGTTTCAGCTGCACAGTTCAATCCTCCTCGATCAGATCTCTCTTTTAAAGTTCTTAAGCGTTTTTTTTTTTTTTGAAACAGGGTCTTGCTATGTAGCCCAGGCTTGCCTCAATCTCTTGATACTCCTGCCTCAGCCTCCCAAGTGCTGGGATTACAGGTGTGCATCACCATTCCTGGCCAGAATTTTTATACTGGGTCCAGCTGTTTTATACTCTTGAAACTTTAAAGCAATGAGGCACTTAGCTATGCATATGCTTAATTACATATTCTAACATTCGCTATTCTTATAAAAAAACCTCTCTGCTCTGTATTAGATTTTAAATAAGTAGAAAAATTTAAGGATACACATTGGAAAGTCAAACCTTCTTTTCAAATTGCATACACAGCATTCAGATGGCTCCCCTTGTCAGACACAGTCATTGTTGGCTGTCAGGGTCAACACTTAGAAATTGCTGGATCACTGGACACATGGGGATTCGTCAGCAGGCATGGGAGGAGTGAAAAACATTCCCAGATGAACTGTGGAGAGGTTCCTCAACATTTTATGTAGCTCTGAACCCCTTTCCAGGCCTCCACGTCCCACTCTGCTTGAGTCTGAGCTCCCTTGCCCACGATGCCAAGGAAGGGTTTACTCTCCCTCCATGGGCTTTTATCTTGGAAAGGCGGCCATGATAAAAAAACAAGATGGATTTTTTGTCTTGGGGAGGAAAACTTAAAGCATCTCATCTAGAAAGAAAGAAGGAAGTGGGGGAGATTGGTTTCACTGGGCATGTCTGTTCTGGAGCAAAATGTAGTAAGCTCTTGAAGAAGCAGAAAAGTGTAAGTCACTCAATGCAGGCTCATTCTGTATGCATGTATGTGTAAACAGGAGTGTGTGGGCATGTGTGGAGTCACACATGTGTCTGTGTAAAGTTCTGTGATATGGGAATCACCCCAAAGTCTCTGGGGCAGAGCTTGGAAGGGAGGAAATGAGGCTGTGGAAGAGCTGAGCCTCTCAAATGGGATGCATGAAAAAGACACTGAGATGGCTCACCTTGATTGTCACCTGGATTACATCGAGAGATGCCTAGCAAATTAAGAAAGCCCCCCTCTGGGTGTTTAAGAAGGTTAGATGATAAGGGCTCTGACCTCATTAATGGTTTCATCCATCGATGGATACAAAATTTGAATAGACTGTTGGGAGGTGGTGGACGCAGTGAAAGAGGGAGTCTGGTTGGAGGAAGTAAGCTACTGGGGTGTGTTTTGAAGAGCTTCTCTGGCCCTAGCCCCTTCCTGGTGCCATGGGCTGAGCAGCTATGCTCCACCAGGCTCTCCCCAACAATGACGGACTGAAACCTCTGAAACCATGAGCTAAAACAAACCCTTCTTCCAGTAAGTTGTTTACATCAGGACTTCTGCCACAGTGATAAAAAAACTGGCTAACACACATACTGGCCTAGAAAGACGGCCAAAATAGATTTCGACACGGGCAGAGAGTGCTTACATGAAAAATAGTCTGCTTGCAACATTGGTTTTTAAAAGTGTGTGTGTGTGCGTGTGCACGCGTGAGAGAGAGAGAGAGAAAGAGAGAGAAAGACTATCCCCCAATCAACTACTATTTTACCTTCGATAACACCTTACCCTCCAGAGGGTAGAAACTACAGAGAAAGTTCACTTTCTAGCTCATATATTTCACATTGATTTTTTTTTTGTGGGACTGGGATTTGAACTCAGGGCTTCACGCTTGCAAAGCAGGTGCTGTACTGTTTGAGCCACACCTCCAGTCCATTTTGTTCTGATTGTTTTGGAGAAGGCTATTTGAAGTATTTGCTCGGGCTAACCTCAAACTGTGATCCGCTCAATGTCAGCCTCCCAAGTAGCTAGAATTACAGGCATAAGCCACCAGCACCTGGCCTGATTTTCTTTTTAATAAATAGTTTCTAAAATAATGGCTTTTGTCTTCCTTTCCTTTAAATTCCTACAATACAAAGCATGCCTATAGGAGCCAGCATGGGAAAGTCACCCCAAACACCCCCCAGCCAGAGCAGATGATCACCAGGAATGCATGTCATGATGTGAAGCGTTGGACGTACAAAGTACATTCTGTCCAGGAAATTGGAAGCTCCTAGAAGACCAGGTCTGTATTTTCACATTCATGGGCTCCTCTGAAGACTTTTTATAAGGTATTAACCATCTAAAGTCATGTGTTGATGGAGTAAAGCAAGAGAGAACCCGCTCAGATATAAAGAACCATGTTTCGGTTTTGGTTACTTATGGCTCTGGGGATGGAACCCAGAGCCTCACACATGATAGGCAAGTGCTCTACACTGAGACACATCCCCGGCCCAAGAGGCAATTTTTGACACACCTGAATGGCACCTTCAGAAAGGTAGTGCCACCTCCCAGAGTGCTTTGAGGAGCTAAGAAACAACCATTTGTCCCAGAAGGCTTAGCAGTCCATCTTCCTAGTTATTCCTCTGAAGCAGCAGCATTCTGCTGAAACCCTATGTCAGGACGGAGACAGAATCACGAGAAGGGATGGTCAAGTCCTGCCATCAGTGATCAGGCCTTTGGACAAAGTCTCATAAAGACAAGAAGACTGTGAGCTTCCCTGGGACCACCTCCTTTCCTAGCTCCCAAGTTTTCTTTCATCAGGATTCTTCCAACATTTTCCATCAGAGCCTACTGATGGTCCAGCCAATGTTATTTTTTTTAAGTCAAATCTTTAAGTTGATAGAATATGATCTGGGGTGGAAGGAGGGGTGACCCTTCCCAATATCTTCTCAGAAGGGACTCTGAGAAAAAGACGTCAGAGGATGAAGGAAAGTAATGGCTGTTGAGAGAGAGCCCCAATCCATGCTTACAATGAGAATCTGAATGTAAGAGCAGGAACTGGACAGAGCATCTCAGGTCACACAGACTTGAACTGTGACAGGGGAGTGCCCTCTAGGTGCAAAGACCAGGAACTAACATGCCCCAGGCTCTCCCACCCAGAGCCCACACATCAGGCTGCACACAGACAGGCATGGTGTGCTTCTGGGTCATTCACTACTAATATTACCTACAAGGCTCATCTTAATCTGCAGTTAGGCTCGGGATTCTAGAAAGGTCTGGAACATTGAGCAGGCCAATGAAGGAGTCCTTCATCTCTATGTGCTAATCCCCGTGCAGGGTTGGGAATTAAAGCCTGTGTATTGGCAAGTACTGAGTATCAGAATCTCCCAGGTGGCTCTGAACAAAAAGCAGGCAGCTGGGCTTCACCCCTGAAGCTTCTGTAAGGTTAGCATCAGTCCAGTATATTTGCGTTCCCTTGGCAACCAGTTCCTGAGCCCTCCAGCAGGGGGTGCAGCAAGAGCTGGCAGTTTTGACATTTTTGCTTGCCGATGGGCAAACCCTCATCTTCCCTCCACATTTCCATGTTGCAAGTGCCAACAGTTGTCGTGAGATCCTTGCATCTTCCTTTGTTTTTGCTGAATGGAGAGTGTTTCCTTTCCTTCATGCCCTTTAGAAATAAACCTACTGTGGAACTACTCTATGGAACTTGGGAAAAGAGGGAAAGGAAAAGAGAAGATAGAGCATCGTAATATCGTAAAACATAAGACGTGAAGGTAGAGGATATAAGGATGTGTATTGAAAGCTGTTGAAAAAGGGGTGGGGTGGGAGAGAAAGGGGTCAGGGAGAGCAGTGAAGGGGTTGAACCCACAGTGGGCATACACTGGTGAATATCAATACATTGTTGATGTGTTGAGTTGAACATCAACTTAAATATTAATAGCGAAAACCAGTGGGAGTGGGGAGAGTGAATGAAAAAAAGTTTTTCTCTCAAAATAAAAGAAGCCTACTGCTGTGGATTTGTCCAATCTTGCTAGCTCCAATATCAATTGTGATGTCTGTCTTGAGCCTGTGCACGCTCTGTGCTCAGTCAAATAGGAAATTGAATAAGTAACAGTCTCCTGGCGGGAATATGTTTTAGTTGAGCTGCATTCCTGTCTGGCTCCCCGTTGGACTTTGTGTGCTAGGATTAGTCTCCCACTTGGATGCAACTTCTCAGAGGACCCACTTGGGAGCAACCTCTGCCAAAATACCCCTAGGCTGTGGGTACACCCCATCCTGCCTTGGCTCCCTGCACCGCTCCTGCACTCTGACCCCTGCACTCAGCCACAGCCTTTCCAGCCCTCACAAGCCTCTGAATTAATCTTACTATTGGAGAGGCCATAATTACCAGTTTAGTTGCCATAGGCCATCCAACTTAGGGAAACTGAGAAACTTGGCCTTGGCATTTTCAGTGACCTCAAGGCCGTGTTTTCTTTTTTCCAGCTTTGAAATCTTCCCAAGTGACAGCTGTGGGGTTTGTGACCCTGCTCCCAGGTGGCAGGCTTTCCTGAGGTGGGGTCTTGGCAGGTGCAATCCGTGTGACGGCATCCTCTGTCTCTCTATTCATCAAGACACCACCAAACACTACACGCAGACAAAGCACTCTACATACTTGGCAGTTGGAGCTAAAAGGCCTGGGAAAACCAAAATGAGTGTATGAATTGCTGAGGAGGCGGCTGCCAGCATGGCGGAAGCTGGGTTTTTTCGGACCGCTGGCTGCCTGCACATTTCCTGGTGGAAGTGGGACAGGTCAGCCGATGACCTGGGGTCACGGATAACTTTGGCCCACACATCATTCACTTTTGGGAGTACTGGCTTGGGGTTGAGGGGCGTGTGTGCGTGCGTGCGTGGATGTGTGTGTGTTTCTGGAACCGACGTGCTTAATGCAAGCCTCAGAAGTTTCTGCTCTTTCTTCGAAGGGGTGATTACAACACAGAGGATGTGGACAGTGGAGTTTTTCCTGTTTGATGTCACAGTGCTATCCTTTAAAAGTCCAAAGGAAAAAAGGAGGGAATCCAGCCCAGGAGCCTCACGTCTGTTATCTGCAAAGAAGAAGAGGAGAAAAGGGCCAGCAGGCCAGGCCACCAGAGAGGGAGTGTCAGGTTTCAACCCCGGCACTAGCCATTCAGAGAGCAGAGAGCAGCGCAATGTGGGGGACCCGCCTCAGGCTCCTGGTCTGTGCCCTGTGCAGCGCCTGCAGCCCCAGCATCACCAGAGCCTACCCTGATGCCTCCCCACTGCTGGGCTCCAGCTGGGGTGGCCTGACCCACCTGTACACGGCCACAGCCAGAAACAGCTACCACCTGCAGATCCACAGGGATGGCCGTGTGGATGGCACACCCCACCAGACCATCTACAGTGAGTAGGGGCTTCAGGCTGGGAAGGGGGGGCTCCACTGTTGTCCATGTACTGGAAGGATTGGGAAATCCTTGGGCTGGACCACAGGGCCATCCCAGCCTCCTAGCTGCTTGCCCAGCAACCACTTTGTGCGTGTTTGTGTGTGTGTGTGCTTGCCTTGTCCAGCATTTGAAAAAAAATGTACAGAAAGGCAAGGCGTCTATGAGAAGAACCCAGAGTTCCACAGACACAGAAGTTTAGCTCAGGAACTTTGCATGGGGTAACTAGGGAGACTGAGAGTGAGGAAAACTGCTGTACAATTCTAAGGACTGGGAGATGAACTCAGAGGCTATTTCCAAGCTGAATGTCTAGTATTCTAATAAGAATTCTCAAAAGAAATGTATTAAATACACCCTGCCCATGTATGTCATCTTAGTGTATCTGATCAGGAACACTACCCGTTCACACACTCATCTATCCATCCACGCATCCATCCACGCATCTACCCAACATGTGCAGAAGTGCAAGTGTCTAACAAACCAAGCTAGTTGAGGAGTGGTTGACAACAAGAGACAAATGGGATGCTTTTAGAGACTGTGTCTGTGGAAAGTTGGATCATAATTCATAGCATCCAATTAATTAGCTGTGTTCAAATGAGGACCCCTTCCTGTGCACTGCATAAGAGACAATGGGGAGATAGGTACTGAAAGAGACAATGTTTTCTATTTAGGAGGGTATGTAAAAATTACTGCAGGATACAGAAAATGCAAACTGAGTCAATATAGTTCAAATTAAAGGAAACTCTATTTAGCTAAAGTGCCTCCTACAGGAATTTTGATTTCCCCCGTTAGTGTCAGTTATCTTGTGTGGCCATGCTGTGTGCACCACATTCACTCTGCCAAGACTTGGAGAACTTTACACCAGATGGGTGGGTACATGCCCACACCAACAGCATCAATTTGTTCAAGTGCTCGGTGTGCATTGATGGGAGAGATGAAAGAAGGGAGAAACGCTCTCTCCAAATACCAAACTTGTTACAGAACTCAAGGAGATAGAACCCAAGGTGTCTACACATCTTGAAAGCCAAGTTTGAACCTAATGGCAAAAATCTGATATAAATGGGGATACCCTTCATGTATCCAAAGTTCTGCTGTTTGGATTCGATGCATATTTCATAAGACCTACACCATGTCTGGCATCCTACAATCAATGCTCTGTGACTCAAAAAAGAGGATATAGCTCTTCACAGACCTCAGTATGTCATCCTTCTCATCTCCCATAGTCAGACTTTCAGGGAAATACAATATTCTTCCACCCATGGAGGGCTGCCTTGACTGCTGTTGCAAGAGTACATATGATTTAAAATTCAGAAGAGTGGGTTATGGTAAATCACTTTGATCCCACCAATTCAAAGGGCTGCCTACAATTAGAAATACTTAGAAAACTTGTCTAGAACCATGGAATCCCTTTGCTGAAAGGACCACCCTCGCCCTGAAGACCTGTCCTCCTGGGTAAGAAAAGACAACAGTGCAGGCTGGCCATGATAGGGAATGGTGTGAGGTCAACCTACTGTGTGAGTAATCTGAACTACAAATATTCATCTTCAAACACTCACAGGTGCCAGGCTGAAGGAATCTGCAGTGAACTGAAATGACTGTGAGGAAACAAAATGAATTGGACTGACTTGAGGTGTGTGTGTGTGCGTGTGTGTGTACGTTGATACATGAAGTAGCCAAGCATTGCATTTTGAAGGAAGCTTAACATTAACCTGGGAGGGGAACTCAGAGCCAGGGTGGTGCTCATCTAGCTCGGTTTGTTATTGATTAGACACTTGCACTTCTGTGGAAAAGAATCAACAACTCACTGGGTACCTTTTCTAGTTTACATATAACCTTATCACTTATATATAATCAATCATTTATCATGTGTATTTCCAAAAAAAAAAAAGGAAAAAATATGACAAAAATTACCAAAATGGAGAGGGGAAACACTGATGCATGTAGATAAATAGCACAGTTTCTGAGAAGTCTGGTGAAGTCTTCAGAGTTACCTCAGTGATGAGTGTAAAGCGGTGTTTTTAGACGATGGGCAAGACCTCGCTCCTAACTACACTTTTCCAGTGGAATCTGGTTATTTGATTATTTTGCTTTAGTACATTCTTTATTAAGAGTTGAGCCCCCCAACCCCTCATTGGCTTTGACAAAATGAAGTGATTGTCTAGGAGTTTCTCCAAGCCCCCCAGGACTCCAAAGGCTGAGGTCCAGCACCTCTCAGGGTCTGCTCACTTGTTCACAAGCCCATGCTCCCACTCATTATCCTCACCCTGTGGAAACAGCAAGAAAGAGATACTTGTTGAGCTGATGGAGTAGCTCAAGTAATGCACCACCTGCCTACCAAGTGGGAGGCCTTGAGTTCAAATCCAAATACTACAAAAAATGCTTATCACCCCTAGTTAACATCCCACTCTTTGTCTTTTAGTGCTGGGGATGGAACCTGTGCCCAGTGCAGGCTAGACAAACACTCTACTCCAGCCCACCCCTAGTTAACATCGCTTCCTGATGTATCTACTCCCTCCACCTTCCCACTGGGGAAGATGAATTATCTTAGGCTCTTTAACACTTCTTCATATTATGTGTCATTCTTTCAAGGAACTCAGAGGGCTTTACAGCTATTATCTCATTTAACATGTACAGAGCATATAATTTTTTACTTTATAGCAGAAGTAGCGATAAAGCAGGTAACAGTAACAATTAATGTCATTTAGAAAGCACTGTGTAGTGATGAGGACACCTCATTACATCTTCAGGAGGACAAAATGAGCTACAAGTTTCTAGGGAAGTCCCCCAACAGAAAATAAAAGCTGAAGAATGTCAATAAGTGGTTCAAGGTCACACAGGCAGCAAATGACAGCAAATTCCAAGCTCTCCCAAGGTCACAGGTGAGACTCCTCTATCCCTGGAGGAAATACGAGTTAAGCCTACTCACTCCAAGAGGTGAAGCAGGTGACTCCAGCAGCCAGACGGTTCTGTTGCTTCTCTCTGCCACATTCTTCCCCGAATCTGTGCAGACCAGGAAAACCTGCCTGCTAAAACACAAATGGAAGAAAACCTGCCTCATTTTCTAAATTTTTGTTGTTGTTGAGCCCAGGGCCTCCCCCTTGCTAGGCAGCTGCTCTACACTTGAGCCACACCCCCAGCCCTTTTGTGCTCTTAGTTATTTTTCAGATGGTGTCTTGAGTTGCTCACGCCCCTCCCCTGCCCCAGGGAGCCAAACTTGGGCAGAGATCCTCCTTCCTATGCCTCCCAAGTAGCTGGGAATCACAGGCATGAACCACCATTCCTGGCTCATTGGTTGAGATGGGGTTTTAATAACTTTTTGCTGGGGCTGGCCTCTAATCATGATCCTCTTGATCTCACCTGAGTAGCTGGGATTATAGGTATAAACCTTGCCTGGCCTTCATTTTCTAAACTCTTGCGTTGGCTTTTGTTGGTTTGATTCAAGAGATGGTGTCCCCTCTTTCCCTGCCCGCCCCCCTCAGCTGCTCACTGTTCCTCTGTAGGGTGTTTTCTACTGGGCCTGGCCCTGGAGCATGTACGAAGCACACTGCCACACAGACCCCAAGCAGGATGTCCAGGTGTGGGTTTGTCATACACAGCAGGTCAGCATATACCACGTGATGCTCACCACTGCCCCTCACTTTGTAGTCATTACCTTATTTGATTCTTGTGGTCACCCTCAGAGCAGGCAGGACACACACAGCTGAAGAAACTGAAGCTAGAGAAATGAGTTGACCAGGGCGACAAAGTTCCCCAGTAGTGGATCTGAGACTGAATCCAAGTCACCACGTTCTTGGTCCCTGGCTCATTGTCTCTTCCCTGGACCTTGAGGGACACTGACCTGGAAATGGTCTCCTCATGGCCTGCAGAAGGCTTGTGTGTGTGTGTGTGTGTGTGTGTGTGTGTGTGTGTGTGTGTGATTTGAACTCAGGGCCTTACGCTTGCTAGGCAGGCAATTACTCCGCTACTTGAGTCATGCCCCCTCCCTTTTATTTTTGTTTTAGTTTTTGTTTTTACATAAGGTCTCACACTTTTGCCCAGGCTGGCCTAAAACCCCGATCCATCCAACCTCCAACTACTGAGTAGATGGGATTATAGATGGGAGCCACTGTGCCCAGCCCCTGCAGCATACATTTTGACATTTGATTTTATCATGTCGTAATGATTGTTGTTGGAAGCCAGCTGTAAGAGAAAGCTATCATATCATTGGCCTGTGTTTGAATCCTAACTTGTCACTAAAATCTGGATGCTTCTACTACTACTAAGCAATAATATTAATATTAACACTAGAAGAGCTGTTTTGAAAATTCAAAATATTTCAAATACTTAGAGCACAACCTCTGAAAAACAGTTACTAAATGTAATTTTTTTCTCAATTATACTGAAAAGTCACCAGATCAGAAACTATTTCTTATATATTCCTTATGGAACATATATTATATGTTTGTTTGGTTTGGTTTGGAGTGACTTTTTTTTGGGGGGGGTGGCAGTATTAGGGATGAACACAGGGCCTCACATTTGCTGGCAAGGTGCTCTATCACTTTAGGCCTATTTGCCACACACCCCTTCTGTTTCTCTCAGGGTTTACCACAAAATTAGTCATATATTGGAGACACATAGGTAAACACCATTTTGGAGGAATTTAAATATTCTCAGTACCTCCCATACCTCACCCTGCTTTCCAGAAGTTTCCCTCAAGGTTAACCCTTAGCCAAACTTAAAACAAATGGACTTTTCTTTGTCCCTCTTCTGCTTTCCTCTTTCTAAGCTTCTACCCAGCTGCTTCCCCTCCCACATCACCCCAATTCCAGTCTATATCAGACTCTGCACACAGCTGGTATCTAATATTTGACTGCTTACTCCCCACAGAGGCCTTTGTATTGTCTACATGGGGTAGGAGAGGAGCCATGGCTGTTAACTCGTTCCACGAAGTTCCACCCCAAGCCAGGCACAGTCAGACATTCACAACTCTCCAGACTGCGCTTGCAGAAGAGAGATTAGAACTCCTACCTGGGCAGCCTCGCTGGGGCTATGAGGTCAAACGAGATGCACATGGAAACTCCATGGCGGGCAGGTGGCAGTGTCCCCAACGACCTGAATAATCACTTTTAACAGAAAATGTGAGGTTGGGGGCACAAGTCGTACTGAATTGCCACTCATACTACTGTGGTCTAATTGTACCCTTACCTGTTGCCAATTATTTAAGGTGTACACAGTACACATAGGCTCCAGGCCCTTGTCAAAGACAAGGTTTTGAGAGGCACCACTGGGAGTCTATGAGGTATTTCAGCTACCTCAGGGTGAGAAATAGACAAAGAGCTGGGCACCCGTGGCTCACATCTGTAAACCTAGCTACTTGGGAGGCTGAGATCAGGAGGATCACTGGTTAGGCCAGCCCAGGCCCCATCGCAACAGAAAAAAGCTGGGTGTGGCAGCACTTGTCTGTTATCCCAGGAGTGGCAGGATGCATAAAATAGAAATGTGGTCCAGGCTGTCCTGGGCAAAAAACAAGACTCTATTTCCAAAATAACCAGAGCAAAAAGAGCACCTGCCTAGAAAGCACTAAGCTGAGTTCAAATCCCACTCCCAGTAAGAAAAAAAAAAAAAAGGTAAAAGGTACACTCTCTCCTCCCACAGTGCTCACTCTAGGAAGGTTCTAGATATGCAAACTTAGTTGGCAAGGTGAGGAAACACGCCACAGCAACAGTGTGGGGCACTGTGCTAAGGGAACAGAGAAGAAAGAACAAGCAATTCTGATTAGGAAGGTGACGTGTCTTCATAGAGATAGTGATACCTGAGGCTGGCCTTGAAGCATGAGTGACTTCAGTGAGCAGAGACCAGAGAAGGAGAACAACTCTGATACTCACAGGTCGGGACCCACAGTGGGTGGAAAAATCACATGCTCTCTACACAGTGGATCCTTAAAAGATATCTCAGCATGGATTTAAAATCCCAGAAGCAGAAGGCTTTGAAGGCCAAGAAGGGGAAATAAAGGCCCAGCAGAGGAACAGGTGGTCAGAACAGGTAAAAGAATGCCAGGAGTTCAAAGCGCCCCACACCGGCAGGAGGATGAAGCAGGAGGTTCATGAGTGTGTATCCGGGTCAGAGTGACAGGCAATGAGGGGAACAAATCGACAGGGAGTTAAGTCACCCCCACCAGGAGGGCTTGGAAAGGTGGGTTTGCAGGAAGTGCTTGAGGGTGGAACCTGAAGTAGGAGGAGTGCTTGACCTGAGTGGCTTTCTCTGCAGGTGCGCTGTTGATCAGCTCAGAGGATGCAGGCTTCGTGGTGATAACTGGTGTGATGAGCCGGAGGTTCCTCTGCATGGATCTCAGAGGCAACGTTTTTGGATCAGTGAGTTAATTTTTGTTTTGGTCACCATTTGCAAATTACTTAATTTTGACAGAACATAGACTCTTCCAGTTTTAAGATTTCCATTTGTAGTGTCCCCTGGTGGCCTGTTGTCACTGAGCACTTCAGTGACAGGAGGAAATGCTCAGGTTCACACAGCTGGAATTTGGACCCAACCAGTTTGGTTCTGTAGCCTGGGCTTTTGAGCTCTACTCTCTCCTGCGCACTGGCACCCATGTTTGCACGTAGTATGGTCCCTGGTATATAGTGGTAGATTTCTGAGTCATGTAAATTCACCCTGTAATATACATGACAGCGTATTACACGGGTAAAAGGCCCTTGGTGTCTTCTGCATACTGTTACCAACGGGGACCTTGGGCAAGTCCTCTCACTACTCCACACTTCAGTTTCTTCTCTTGGAAAAAATGAGGTGACTAGACCGTGTCACCTGCAGAGCTCTCTCCCCTTAAAGACCTCTCATTAACTACCTGTGCCCCACAGAGAAGGCTGGTCCTTCAGGTTGGTAAGCAAAGTGTTTCCCAAACTAAAGTTTGCTGCATAGTCCAGAGGAGTCTGAGATAGTGAAATAAAGGACTGCTTTTCTCAGGAGTCTCTTACCACCAGACACGTCCACTAGAAATTTTTCAACAGCAGAGGCTTTCTGCTTTGTCCCTGCTGTGTGTGTCCTGGCATCTAGGATCCCATCCGGCCAGAGTGGATAAATACCTGCTAGACACATCTATGCCTACAGATGGCACTCGTCTATAGACTACTTACTTTGTAGAGTTCAAGGACTACATGCAGTTATTTGTAGAGGTCCTCATAGGCTTTCGGTAAAATTCAGTACTAGTGGTAGAGTGTGGATTCAAACTCAGTGCATCTGTTAGCAAGTTCATGAACCTGATCCCCAAACTACATGCACCCTCCTTTGGCTCTGGTCTCCAGGCCCTAGTGAAAGGCCTTTCAGAAAGCTGGAACCATATTCAGCACTTGGGCAACCTGGAAAGCATTAGTGAAAATCATTATTTCCCAGGACTGCTAGAGTGTTTGCAGGTGTGGTGGTGCACACCTGTAATCCCAGCACCAGGGAGGAGGAGGCGGGAGTACTGCAAGTTGAAGGCCATCCTGGGATACATAGCAAGCCCCTATCTAGGGGGGGCGGGGAAGGAGAGGGGAGAGGAGAGAGGAGGAAAAAACGGAAAGAGAGGGAAGGAAGGGAGGGAGGGAGGGAAAGGAAAGAAAGAAAAAGATAAGACTGGGTGTAGTGACTCACACCTGTAATTCCAGGTTCTTGGAGGCAGAGATGGGGAGGATCCCAGTTCCAGGCCAGACTGAGCAAAAACTTAGCGAGACCCACCCCTTCCCATGTCAACCAATAAAAGTCGGGCGTGGTTGAGCACTCGCATAAGTAGGAGGATCATGGTTCCGGGTCAGCCCGGCCAAAAGCATAAGACCCTACTGGCAAAATGGCTGGGGGTGTGGCTCAAAAGTAGACGACCTGCCAAGTGAGTGCAAAGCCCTGAGTTCAAATCCCCGCACAAGAAAGGAAGGAAGGAGGGGGGAAGGGAGAGAGGAGAGAGAGAGGAGAGAAGAGAGAGAACAGAGAGAAGAGAAGGAGAGAGAGAGAGAAAATGAATCACGTTTTCCTAGGAGGGAGCGGCATTGGGCGGTGAGCGATGAGCGCCCCGGTGGCGGAGCTGTCGGGGCCAAGTCCAAGGTGAAGGCCGCGCCATGGGGATCCCGGGTTCAGGCCGGGTACGCAGGAGGGGCCGGGGCACGGGTCCCCGCAGCCTCCATCCCGCCTGTCTTCCCTTGCAGCACTACTTCAGCCCCGAGAGCTGCCGGTTCCGCCAGCACACGCTGGAGAACGGGTACGACGTGTACCTGTCCCCGGAGCGACACCTGCTGCTCAGCCTGGGCCGGGCCAAGCGGGCCTTCCAGCCGGGCACCAACCCGCCGCCCTACTCGCAGTTCCTGTCGCGGAGGAACGAGATCCCGCTGCTGCACTTCAGCACCCCGCGGCCGCGCCGCCACACGCGCAGCGCCGAGGCCCACGCGGAGCGCGACCCGCTCAACGTGCTCAAGCCGCGGCCGCGCGCCACCCCCGCGCCCGCGTCCTGCTCGCACGAGCTCCCGAGCGCCGAGGACGGCGGCCCGCACGCCAGCGACCCGCTCGGGGTGCTGCGGGGCGGCCGGCAGAGCGCGCACGCCGCGGGCATGGGCGCCGATCGGTGCCGCCCCCTGCCCCTGCTCATCTAGGGGACTTCCCGGCCGGGAAAGGCGTCCCCGGTGACCCGCGAGGCGGTCTCCAAGAGACCCGCTTGCCTCTGCATGCCAAGGGAAGGGGCGGGGACCTGGGGAGTCACTGCTTCTCGTCAGTGCTTTCCCCCAGAACACCCTAAAAAAATCAGTTTAAAGCCCCAGTGCTGGGGGGGTCCCCCACCCCTGTCACCCCACACGCACCTTTCTCCATCAGAACCTCCAACAGATAACTGGACATCTTCCCCCTCATTAAGGAAGAGAAAAGGGCTTTTCTCCCTACTTCTTTTCCCTAGTCTTGTTTCTTGATCTTTTGTTTGTTGTGTTTTGAGATAGGGTTTTCTATGTAGCCCAGGTTGGCCTTGAACTCTCTCCTCCTGCTTCCACCTCCCAAGGGCTAGAATTACAGGCAGAGGCATGGCTTTTCTTGATCAGTGCAGCAGTGGCTTGGCGGGTTCATACCTGGACTGTGGTAGGAAAGAGGCAGTCCCAGAAGCTTTTCTGGTCTCCTTGTATTCTCCCTGGTCACCTGCTGGCCTGTGAGTTTGCACACCTTGACATTAACAGCTAGACTGGGCAAGCTGATTAAAAAAAGAAGAAAACACACACACACACACACACACACACACACACTCTTGGGTGAATTATAAAAATGTGGCTGGGGAGGGGACCTAGAGACCCTAGGACTGCTCGGGTGAGGATTTCTATGCACTGAAAGATCGTGTTCTTTTTTCTGAAGAAAAGTGGAATGAAGGACTTCAGGAGGAAAAGAAGTCTAATAACCAGGGAATCTAGCTATAGGATTTTGTATCAGTGACTGTAGGATTAGTTAAGCCATTTCTGGGCTGACGCATGTGTGTCAAGTTATTGGGGCATTTAAATGAAGATAACTTTCAGTCCCCAGAGCCCCAGTGCCACCAACACAGCCTCACTTAGAGAGCAGCAAGTGTCAGGTAGGGTCTGAGGCCTACCCTCCTCTTAGCATTACCCCAGAGTCCCCCATACCAAGGGACCCCGTTTTCCTACCTCTGTGTAAACCACCAGAAGTGGTGAAAATCCAAACAACTTCTTCCCACCTCTTTTTCCCACTGCCTTCCTGTACCCAGACTTAGAAAAGGCTGGATTCTCTTTGCCTATCAAAGAAACAGTGAACAGCCATTTTTACCTGAACAGGAAGCTAGTGTTTCCTATTCTGAAACATGAAAACTATGTATAGCAGTGCAGAGCCATGCATGGCAAATACTCTCTTTCACACTTTTCATTTCCTGCTGGGGTTTGTCCTGTACATTTAGCTGTCGGAGGTTCCCCCAAACTGACAAGTAGATGGATGGAAACGCCCAGAAGAACTGTGGTAGAAAACTGTAAATTCACCAATCCAACCCCACCATTGTGGGTTTTCTTGTTGGCACAGCCAAGTTAACTCCAAAACTTCTTGTGTCTCTTATCATGTGGCAATATTTATTTATTTATTTGGAAGGTTTTGCCTATCACTCTATATTTATAGATATTTATGAAAATGCAATCCCATCTTTTTTCCCCTTCCTTCTGTTTAAAAGAAAAATAAAATTTGTCTTAGCTTCTGTTGCTTCTCTTCTGTGTTATTTCATCAAAGCACATCAGGAGGTGAGAACAAACAGGGTTGGGAAGGAGGTGAGCGTTCGGAAGAGCTGGAGAAAGCAAACTTGAAAAAGTTCATCAGAATTTTTAAGTATTCAAAGATTTTTTTTTTCATTTAGGAGCAAACAAGACAATTTTGATTAATCCAGACAATTACTAAAATAATGAAATGTTATCAAGATTGAGTTTCTGATCACTCTAGCCCTAAAATATTTCTTTTTAGAGAATTTTATTTTTTTTGAAAAGCATGCAACATCCATGGCGATGTCTCAGTACAGCAGGTCCCATAGGTCTCTGGGTGGAAGACGGTACATCACGGAGGGACGGAGGGAGTGTGGTGGAATGAGCCACCTCGTGGCCAGGAAGAGGAAGAGGAAGAGGAAAAGGAAGGCACCGTGGTGCCCATTCTCTACACGGGCACGCCCCGATGACCTAACCATTAGGCTCCATCTCTTTTTTTATGCAGTACTGGGGCTTAAACTCAGGGCCTATACCTCGATCCACTCCACCTGCCCTTTTTGGGATGGGTTTTTTCAAGATAGGGTCTCTTGAACTATTTGCCCAGGCTGGCATCAAACCACAATCTTCCTGATCTCTGCCTGCTGAGTAGCTAGGATGACAGGCATGAGTCACTGGTGCCAGCTTAGGCTCCATCTCTTAAAGGACCCACCACCTCCCACCAGCACAATGGGCTGGGAATCAAGCCCTTAACACATGGGTTTGGGGGGAATATTTCAGATTTAACTATAGCATGTGTACTTAACACATGCACAATGCCACTGCCCTGCAGGCCACCAAAATAAAGAACCTTTATCTTGGAGTTGGTGTACCCCAGTTCTTTCTTTGATCTCCATTCAGCTACCAAAACCCTGGAAGCAAAGGGGCTTATTACATGTTTGCCTGTGTTATTATTAACTGACTTTAGCCATCAACTTCTGTCTCTTAATAATTACTATAAAAGAATGTAGCAAAGGGTCTGCCATCTTGATTGGTGCTGAAATTGCCTCTGACAAATACTACAGAGAAAATTTTCTTCTCATTATGACCCTTTTAAGAGCTCCAGTGCTAAAGTCCTCCACACTCAAGTGAAGAGTAGGGAAACATCACCAGAGGGACCAAGAGCACAGGGCAAAATATTTTATTTGTTTGGTTATTAGTGTTTCAAAAGTTCTTTCCAGGTTTTGTTAGGAAAAAAATGACAGGAGCTCAGCTTATAATTTTCATCCCTCCATAGTATTTCAGAAACAAAAGCCCATTGGGGGAGGTGAGTCTTAATTTTGTTCCTGGCTTACAGGACCTGAAAACCTACAGAAGGGAGTAGGGTCAAGATGACCCTTTGGGGATAAATAGACCTTCATTCCCTTAGAGAAAGGGAATTAAACAGTGAAGACAAGGAAGATGCACTCTGGGTGTTTCCCTCCCACAGGCTATAGGAGTTCCTGGCTTTTCCCATAAAACTCTTCCCTGACTAAAGAAAAGGAAAATGAACTTTCCCTTGTTTTTAACTCAAAACAATTAGTGGGGAGAAGGACAAAGGAATCCTTACACACTGTTGGTGGAATGCAAATTAGTCCAGCTACTATGGAAATCAGTATGGAGGTTCCCCAAAAAGCTAAAAGTAGAACTACCTTATGATCCAGCTATACGACTCCTGGGTATATCTGAAGGAATGTAACTCAGCATCCAATAGAGACACCTGCACAGCCATGCTTACAGCAGCACAATTCACAGTAGCCAAGATACGGGATCCACTGAGGTGTCTATCAACCGATGAATGAATAAAGGAAATGTGGTATACATACATAGTGGAGTATTATTCAGCCCTAAGAAGAATGAAATCATGTCACTTTCAGGAAAATGGATGGAACTGGAAATCATGTTAACTGAAATAAGCCAGGCTCAGAAAGACAAATACCACATGTTCTCTCTCATATTTGGAATCTAGACCTGAAAAATGATAAGAGTGTAAAACAGGGGCACTATTTGGGAGTGGAAACCAGCAAGAGCAGGGACAGTGAAAGGAGGTGGTGAAGGAGGGTGAATGTGACCGACGTACTTCATAAGTTTGTATGAAAACAGAGTGGCGAAGCCCATTAAAGCGGGGAGAGGGATAAGAAAGAGTAGTGGGGGTAATTCGATCAAAGTACATTTTATGAATGTATAGAAATTATTACAACGAAACCCCTTTGAACAATTCATACATGCTAATAAAGGAAAATGGTTTGTGGTATGAGGATGGGCAAGAATCCAGGAAGAAAACGTGAATCTGTGTGTGTATGTAGAGACACAGTGTGCAGTGAATTTTATCATACGTTATGCACACCAGGCTGCTACAAGCTCTAGTGACCTAATCCTAGGCACAGTTGCCAGTGGTTAAAGCCCAGCCTCTGTCTTGTCTACACAATCCTTGCTGAGCAAGGATAATTATCACATATATATATAGTCGTATAGATGCTTACTATTTAAACATAATTTTTTAAACATCTTAACTCATTTAACACTTAAAATCACATAGCTTTCATTTTCAGCTGTAGCAGAGTAACTGATTCTAGACTTACCTTCCTGTCAAAAACCGAAAACAGAAGAAAACAGATGAGTCAGCCAATTCCAGACAGAGAGTAGCCTAGGACCAAGATGCTTGGGAGAGAGGAGACTCAGGAGTGGCGCCCCTGAGCATTCTGGCTTTCTGCTGGGATGGTTGAGAGCCACAGGACACAGGGAGAGGAGGAGCCCAGGCAGAGCAGCCATGCCTCTGAGCCGAGAAAGCAGCTGACTTCGTGGGCAGAGTAGCATATGCACAGGGAAGGAGTCCTGATGAGAAGATGGAATCACACACCCAGGTAAAGCATCCTTCAAAACAAAGCTGGAATAAACAAAACTGAGGGAAACTGCTTTCACACTGAAAATAATTAACACTAGGTAGGAGTTTAGGATTACAGGAAGAAAGCCATCAGAAATCATAACTTGTAAGTGAATTTAAACCTTATTTATTGTATACTTTCATCCTCTGATTTTTTTTTTTACCTGCTTACAGTAAAACTTAACAACCCTGTGTTATGGAGGTTATAAGTTCCATGGATGTAGCACATGTGGCTACATGTGCCACATAGGATGGGAAGGGCAAATGAAACAATATGGCTAGCCATTACAACATTGATGTGAAAGTCACACAAACTCCTAAGTAGACTGTGATAAGTTACTGACACATATTATAATACCCCTAAAGGCTAGAAAAATAATAGTGATTAATAACAACAATTCAAAGAGATATGGGTAAAAAGTCAATAGAAGTATTAAAACAGAGATACAAATAATTCACGATTTGTAGACCTATAGAACAAAAAATCAAATGGGACGAGCAGGAAAGTCAGGCACTATGCTCT